TTCAAAGGAAGAATTATTTCTGGGAAGTTGGAAACATACACATAAATACTCTGCTGATGGCTTGAAGCTGAGAATTGCAAGATTCAGCAAAGTTGGCATTGCTTCTAGATAGCTGGACCTGACCCAAGAACAAGGTGCTATTAGGCAGCATCTTATAAAGAATGGATCACCAGGCAGCAGCAAGCTGTCCTAGTGTTATTTTCCTGAATTCACATTCAGCTTGGCAAGCCGTCTGCAGAGCTCTCCAAGCTAGTGAGCCTAATTCAGGTGTCCTCCAGTCTCTGCTTCCTTAGGATAGACATTCATGCAGCATCCCTAAACCACACATTTGGAACAATCCCCAACCTGTTCTAACCCACCTTTCCAACCCTATGTAACTTTCCAATCAGAGAATATCCTGACTTTATTTAAATGTCTTTGTACAAGCTGCTTCTCTTCTTTCTTCTTCCAGAATGCATTTCCTGTACATCTCTGCTGCCAAAATCCTGTCCTACCTCAAATGCTCAATTCAAATGCTGCTGTCTCCTAGATGCTGTTACTAATTCCCTTCCTCACCTCTCATTTCCTTCACTGAAAGTACCTGTTCTTTCTCTTTTTTTTTCTTTTTGCCCACAGCAACTTGCACTTCTCTCATAGTACTAACCACAATGTGTATTTTGTAAATATCTTACCTCTCTAGTATATTGTAAATTCTATAGAGACTATGGTTAGTTAATACATGTATGTGCCATGGCATCAAAATATACAATACATGCTCCACAAATTAGTGTTGAATTGGGTTGGGATGCCACAGTCTTAGGAGGAAAAGGCACCAGAAAAGCCACATTTGACCAATTTCCTTTCCTTCTCTGGATTAGGAAGACAGAGTAAATTTTTTAGTTGTGCAAAATGAAAGAAATGATGAAGTACCTATCATATTTGAATTTTAGAGATGTTTCAGGAAGAAACACAGGCTAAAAAATCATAAGCACATAATCTCAGAGGTTATCTCCTCTTATCTTCAATCAAAGGCAAACATTTCACATGATGAAATCTTAAGATGAGGATTTTTTAATATGTATAAATTGATGATAATAATACAGTGAAATGAGTTACTTTCTATCACTTTTTCAACCTTTCAATGAAAGACCTAAGCACTCTTGCATAAAGATTTTATCTAAGCTGCCTCATCCTAAACTATTTCTCACTTTGTGTGCCTCTTGATAAAATTCATAATACATTTCATCAATTTTAGCACTCTATAGAGTTTATATTTAAAACTATTGTTGGTTTTCTTATAGGTTCACAAAAGTAGTTTGGACATTTTCCACCTAATGTAATTATGGTGTAAATCATGGTTACCATCATAATTGATTTATAACATATAGACATATGGGAGTTATTTTAATGGTGAAATAAATTGATAAGAAAGATAACATAATATTTAGTTATTATTGAAATAAACTTATGAAATGAAGATGATAACAAAAGAATAATCACATGGGGATAATAGATAAACATTATAAGGTATTTAATTAATACTATGAACAAAGAGCTATAGACAGAAATTTGATTTTCACAGGGAAAGGATAAAAAGTAAAACGTTTTATCTCGAAGATTATTAGAATTAAGACATAGTCTTTAAACTGAAGTGAAGTGGCAAGGGAGAATAATATCAAAATATGATTTAATATTGTTAAAGAGGTAATATTCAGATATTTAGCAGATCAATAAAATTAATTAATGAATATGACATCCCATCTATTTTAATTTAGATTTCCAAAATATAAAAGAATTAATTAGTGTTAAAGGGACATTGAAATTTATTACTGGATCTCTTGAGAGTGAGGTAGAATTCTGTGCATTATAGGGAGAAATATTAAACAATTTTTTAGTAAGTTAAATTCAGGGACAGTCAGACCAACTTCACTTTTGATTAACCACCTTGAAAATGAGTTTGCTAGCAATTGCAATCTCTCCTTTTCATCTGATCATTGAAGAAGTCAATAATATAATATTTATTCAATATGAATGAAGCAAGTCAGAAATTTAAAAGGCATTATTTATTCCTTAGCCATATTACTGTTGCTTAAATTCCTCCTCCTCTTTATTTTGTGTTAGTGGTTTTTGGAATCATTAGACACTCATGCCATTATATGTGTATATTAATCCATATGTATAGATATAATATTTAAATATCTTTTTAAATATTACTACAATTTATGTAATCATTTCCAAGAAGCCAAATGTTAATCCTATTGTTCATAGTTTGGCATATGCAAAACTTCATGATATAAAAGAATTCAATACAGTCTACATGATTGTTTTCAGTTGCAAATAGATCAAGCTCACTGAAAAAAATCTAATGTTCTGTAATATATTTTAAAGACCATATCACCAATTTGTGAAACATTTTCATAGATGGTGATGAAAAACTGAGGGCAATTTTAAGAAAGACACAATTTTTATAATGTCTTTTCATTATCTTGAGGGAGGGGTGCAAGCCCTCTTCTCTGGTTCTCAAATTCTTTAATGCTAAATCATGAACCATTAATATAGAGACGATCTCTAAGGTATATTATGTGACTGTCAATTTGAAAGAGAAATCATATTAGTGGCATAATTTAAAATTATTTTTAGATAATAAATTAAAAATATTAGAGAGGTAAAATAATTACTATGACACAATTGTGGAAATCACAAAATATAAAATAATCAGAGGAATTAAACTTTTAGTTCAAGTCTGAACTTTTAGTTCAATGCTTCCTAACTAGCTGTTCTTGAATAAATTCAATTATTTCTTTGCACTTCAGAGTCCTTAATTCTGTAATATTTTGTAAATTTGTGAGAGTTCTCTATGAACTGGAAAGTTCTCTAAAAGCAGAAACTATTAATATTAATTTATGTTGTGAAATTATTCTGTTACTTGGGCAAAATGACACTGTAAATGCTTAAGTAAATGCAAGTTTCATATAATCAGCCCTGGATGTCAATTTTTTAAACAAAATACAATGATAATCTATACAAGGTAAATAGAAAAGCATTCAAAACTTGGTTCTTTTTTTTCACAATCTTTGAATAATATTATGAGATAATTTGATCAAATTATGTAACTTCAAGAAACTAGATTTTTAAATATGTCATAATCAAAATTTAGTTTATTAGAATGTTATAAATGACTTTTGTGTGTATAAGAAAGAAGAGTGGAGCAAATAACAAAGTGTTTCTCTCAAGTAAATGTTTCATTTGTAAGAGGAAAAATAAAGTATCTATTTTGAGCTAATGGGCCAGAAGTCAACCTGTGTGATAGACAATTTATAAAAGCTCACTGATATCTTCCCTCCCTTACTTAATTCTTGCATGTAAAGTACTTAATTGACACTTAAAATAGTTTCACAAAACTAAGTTATTTTTTGATATTCTCTGAAATACCTGAAAGAAGGAAGATTAAAATAAGCTGCACCCTCCTTTAAGAATACTGAGTATTTAATGCCTAATGTAGAAGAGATCATCCAGTATTATTATTTTCTAACATGAATAGAAAATAAGATATTTCCTTAGTAAACCATGTACAACCATCTCCAAAAGCAACTAATAAGGAGTTTGAAAATGATCCATTAAGTGGTCCATCTATTTTTACCTGCCATACTGATGCTGTAGTAACTTTAATAATTAATTCTTTTTGTATTCTACAAAAATCTATAATATTGTCCAAAATTTGTATATTGTGGGCATACCTAGTTAAGAAAACATTATTTGGGGGACTTTAACATTTCATTGACATGGAGTTAGTCTGTAATTAAGACATATTCCATTTATGAATTCCTGCTAGTTGCAGTATAGCCAGATAAGGCTCCTCTTTTGAATGACTCAGTGCTCCCTTTGGTTCAGGCAATTCAATTAAAAGTTTGGCCCAGCCTCACACTTGAAAGCAGTGAATGGCATGGTAGGCATATATTTTTTGCCTACCATGCAAAGGTAATAGTGTCCAGGTAGGATGAGGTCAATTCTTATGTTAGTAGATATCAAGGTGAAAACTATAAGTATTCTAAAGGAAAAATGTAACTGGCTTAGCCATATAAGTTATTTAGTCTATCCAATAAGTCTAATCTATAAAGATCTTCTTAAATATTGAAAAGCAATGAACTCTTCTTGATAATGCTATGCCTTCAGAAGGAAAGTAAAATTTTTAAAAATTAAACAGGCAGAATATTATGTTGGTTTGGAATTTAGAAGATGTCACCTACTGTTATTGAGATGGCAGAAATATGAGATGTGTGCATTAACTAAGGAAAAACACAAGCAACCAAGCCCAATTTATAAAGAATAACGTGTACTAGAATCATGTAATTGTTTCTCCCACCAGATTGTAACCCAGGCACCATTGTTTGTTTAGTGTTTACTCCTGGGGCATAACAGTCCAAAGCAAAAACACACAGTAGGAATTCCATAGGTGTTTGTTGAATGAGTAGAAAGAGAGGCTTATTATTTTTAAATGTCATGATAAGTATGAGTTTACTTTAAAATATCATTTATAAATATTGTATATAGGGTTCACTACTTTCTGAAGTTTTGGGTAGCCACTAAGGGTCTTGGAACACATCCCTCAAGGGTAAGGAGGGACTACTGCTTGTGCTTTTATCCATCATATAAGATTCTGAGAGGGCTTATAAACTGACTTTTCTGAAATCCTTTGGGACCTTGTACCAAATTGCCTGTATACCAACTGTAAATATTAAAAACCACAAGTATCATTAGGGTGTCACCCGTTGGTAATTATTTGATTAGCCATTTTTGTAAGCTATCTGAAAGATTGTTAATCCATCTTGCTGAAAAACTAGTGACACTATTGTTAAGTAAATTTTTTTAAAAATCTTATTTTGCTGGCAAACAGATAACTAGGAAAATGAGTTGTGATGCCACAGTTGCTTTTCCAAAATAATTATGATCAGGGTCCCTGTGGTATGCAGTGTGTAACTTATCCCTTCCGTGTTAATGAATTCAAGGGAAGGCAACGCCACTATTAGTAATAGCTTTTTATTCGGAGTCCTCATTTTCCATATAGGTCACATTAAACACAGCCATTAAACAATAGCGTTGAGATAAATCCATACAATGTATTCTGTTTTTGTTGTTGTTGTCCTTGTTCACCAATAGCTTGGTGCAACTAAGAACCTTATGGAGTGATGGGGCTGATAAATGGGAATAGCCAACCTGCAAACACTGGGGCCAGGAAAGTCAGACTTTAATCAGGTCTCATTCAATTACGTTTCAAATCAACACTTCTTGATAGCCAAAACTCTTATTTGAATTAATACTCTGATAAATGCTGTCTGTTGTCAAAAGAATATAATTAGACAATAATGAGTGGGCATATATTATGCCAGACTTGTCTATTTGTTGACCTTAGTAACTTCTACTCCATTAGACAACAAACAGCTTTTAACCTGGTTTTATAAAAGCATACTGCTCTATTACTACATGACTTTTTTTTAATGGTGTCATATTTTAAATTGAGCAGTGTCTATATCCTTTAAAGGGAAGTCATGTTTTAGAAGATCTCAGCTAATTTTGGAAAATAAAACAAGTTAATTTCCCAAGCAGGAATTCAATTAATTTACGGAGTAGTGAGCCAATCTTTGTACATTTGCTGCAATAAGAATGTCAGGTTTAGAAATGACATGAAAGTATTCTTTGAAATTGCATGATATGTCTCTTTAATGTTTACTTTGGTATAGGTATAACTAACACTGATTCTCACTACTTTTAACTTTGATGAAAATATTTTTCACCATTAACATCTGATGAACAGATTATTTTGTTACTGATTTTTAATTTTTAGTTCATCAGTAAGCAGATTTTACAACTTTGGGTTTCTTACTAAAATTTCTATGAGCTGATTTTTTTTTTCCTGTGCTTGATTCAGTTACTTAAAGACCTAAAAGACAATGTGATATCACATTATTTATTTTGAATGTGTGGGATTTTTTTCTAGGGGTTAGTATTGGAAAGATGTGAATTAAGACATTTTTTCACATTCTAAATTATGCTGAAACCCCTTCAAATCTCACTGTTTGATCATACACCACCTATTAGAGCAAGTTGCTCCCTAAAGGTGCAATTTTGGCATCTCATAGGCTTCCTTGAAAGCCAAGCACCAGAGGTCTGTGATAAAGGCAGTTGCCAGCCAAATGAATAATAGTGAGATTCCCTCAATTCAACTATAAAAGCTTAGAGTCCTGACTGCTGAATTACCACAAACTTATAAATAAATAATCACTACTAAATACAGATAATGTGTTAAACAGCTAACACTAGTAAACCACTGGTGACAGAGAGCCTAAAGGTAAATCCCTCACACGTTGGCACAACAAATTCTTAAAATCTTATGGTGTTTTAATGTCTTCAGATACATATAATAAATTGAACAACTGGTTACTTAACGTTAATAATGTTTTAAAAATAAACCTTACTCTCTTTGTTGATTTCATTTACATACTGCTTTAGATTGTACTAAGTGGTTATATGTCTAGTAAGAGAGAGGCAACATTTGGTAAGACTAAATGGAAATCAGTTTTTTATCAAATTTCAGCTATCAAGCTAAATCAACCTGTAGTCTCCTGGCGAAAATAACATCATGTAACAGAGACAACACATTTCAGATACATAAATCGTCCAAAATATTAGGTTTCACATGTACAAGATCCCTTCTTTTCTAATTTGAACATTTACGAATAATAAAAACCAAGAGTAGAGCTTTGGAAAGGCTGTTACTAGGAACCAAAATATAGTTCTCAAGAGAATAAGGCTGATGGGAGTTGTCCACTCTTCCCTCTCAAAGCAGTTTTGCAAATGAGGTACAGTCTAAAATCTTGACAGTGTTTGATGGAAATATTTTCAGTAGAATTTTTTGAGATTTAAAATTATAAAACTTAATTTAGGTAATGTTTGTTTTTGCTTTTGTTTTTATTTTTAATATAAGGATTTTATGACATTTATGCTGTTTCTACACTGGCTTGGTGGCCAGAAAAGAAGGCACAGAATTCTCCACCAGTTTGCAAATAATGCATTTTTCTGCTCCAGTGCACAAACAGCCTTTATTTAACTCAGCACCACATTTTCTAAGGTATGGGCACGAAATTGTTTGTCATGAAGCTGTAAAATGCCAAAAATTTTAAATGCTGAAGGAAAATGTCAATCAAGGCATTTTCCCATCTGCTGCTACTTCTGCAAGTGCTAATTTTATTTTTCCCAATTCCTGAAATTTGAGGTTTCTTAGCCTCATAAGGAAGTAAATTTGAAACTCGCTAAATGTCACATGAAAAGGTGTAAGCAAATGAAGGAATAGAAGGTGTGTTGTTCTCAAAGGACGCCAATAAAAAGAGGCAGAGGAGCATTGAGATAAAGGAAAAGCATTTTGTTAAGACTCAGACCTCTTGAAAAACACTACACAATGCAAGTAACCAGAGCTGGTACCACACATGCATTAAAGCATTTTTCATGTATTTGAAATATAATGGGAACACACATCTAGACCACTTAAAATACTTTTGAGAACCAACCAATGGTATGATATCTACATAGGCAGAAGCTGTATGTTATTGAAAAATCATGAAGAAGTTTCAGGTATTGGTACAAATGTAACTCTTGTGATTTAGCATGACTTTAATAAAAGCTTCTACAAGGACTTGCACATAACCATGAGTGACGGATGTATTTTTTTTTCTTTTTTGACCTTTCAGTTAGCTCCATCAGCTCACTCAAACACATTTTGAACAGATTATGTACTGTAGTACTTGGTAGACTATACATTAAACAAGAGACTTTGCTCTGAGGCACTGCTTCCCACACTCCATGGGGAAAAGGAAGCAGGAAAAAACAAAACTCATAGAGTTCGACAGCTACCGAGGCAACACTTGCCATTTACAATATAAGCCCAAATATTTTTGCAACACAACTATATATTAATTTAATAAAATACACAATATAGCTCTTATACACTCAACAATTTGGCTCATATGCACTGAATCTGCAATAAATCAATAAAAATATGTCATTTGATGTAAACACATTGAATCTTCTTACATTTGCACATTTAAATGGTCATGTGATTTGTATATGTCTAAGACATTTTCACTTTCCTGAGCTATTTTAGTGTCCACAGATGAATAAAACATATTAATCTTATTAATTTTCTTTGAATATTACAACTCAATGGTAACTATTTTTCAGAACTTTTCTATGTCAAATTTAAAACATACTCATCATTATTTGTATCTTTTTGGACACTAAAATGCTAAGTAGGCATTTTAAATCTTTAAATTTTCTTCTCCTTTAATGAAGTGAATTAGTCTACGTGTGTGCTGAACAAAATGGACTATATCTTTTTACATTTAACTTGTATACAACATGAGGTGTCTTACAAATGAGCAAGGTTTTTTTTTTTTTTGCTTTTTTTTTTTTTTTTTCGTTTTTGTTTTTGACTAATGATATGGAATGTTCTTTGTGTTTATATGTGTGTCAGGTAACTTTATACAGAAATGTTTACCACAAATATGTGTTAATGTTTGGTGTAGCTTGGACTACTGCAAGGTCTTTTCAGGACTTTCAGTAGAAGCCTGTGATGACTGCTAGAAATCCACCACAGATCACAAATATGACCCTGCTTGGTATGGGGTTTATAGGTAAACAGTTATGTCAGCATAAATCACGGAGGACAGTCTTAGAGTGATCAGAAATACTTCAATTCTCACACTGCATACCTTCCTAACAGATTGTCAAAAGGTAACACGCCTCCTCATTTTCCTTTTTCTTCTCTCCTTTTTCTTCTCCCTTTTTTTTCTTTTCTCTTTAAGCATCGATAATTGTCCTAATGTAAGTTTGTCCAAAACAAAACCATTGTTATCTCTGAAAAAGAAACAGCAGTGAAAAGAACATACTTGTGGGCACTTCAGATGTTCACTAAAAGCCTTAAAGCAGCATTGGTCTTTCTTCATCCCTGTAAAATGGGTTGTCACCAACAGGGATCATTTTTAAATCAACAGAAGAGACAAGAAGATGCCAATGCCTTTTTTTTTTTTTTTTCACTTTCTCACAGCCACAGGGTCATTTCCCCTGCAGTCTTGCAAAAGCTTATCAATTTCTCTCACAACTTCCTCTGCATCCACGGACTCTCTGCCCAGATCCCTGTTGGGGTGGTCAAGCTGCTCCAGAACAGCTCCCATCTCACTGGAATCCCGGCTGCCTCTGGAATGCACATCCGCGAAGACCCTTGCCATCTGATCGGATGCCATGAAGGGAGGGTCTCTTGGTTGCTTACTGGGCGACAGATACTGAGTGTCAGTGGGCAAGTACTGATTGCTTGCTTCAGCCAGGGCTCCTGGTTTTGCTTCACAACCATCCAGGGAACCTTTCGTTGAGGTGCAAGGCTCGACGCATGCCTTGGTTGGGCTGCTTGATGCTGAGGGGACCTCTTGGAGGAGAGGGCTCAGGGCACGTTTGGCTTTTAAATAAGGTTTAACATTGGCAATGAGAATAGTGTGCTCTCGCTTGTCTTTTCCAAATGTACAAAAAGTCTTTTTCCCAGTGGGATTCACAGTTTCGTAAGTCTCAGTCTCAACATTAGCTTCAACTGTGGGTACAAAGAGATTTGTGCGGTAATCTGCGTTTTCAGCCTGATTGGCTGCAGGGAACTGTGGCATCCAACACCTGTCAGAATGACCAAGCACTCGGCATTCATCTGTGCAATTAACACACTCTTCTGGTTCTGCAGAACAAAAGAGAAAACAGCAAATCCAATCGTTAGGGTTTCCTTTAAATTTCTACAGAGGCTATGATCAGCTCTCAGTGGGCTTGCTTGACCTCTGGTCTCTTAATTAAAAAGGAAAAGAAAACAATAATTAAAACATTTCAGAATGGTTGCATAAACCTGCTGGTTGAGACAATGGTCTAATTTAAGTCTATTCTCTAGGTATTAACGAATTCCCATAGCCTGGGAAGAAGTAAGACATGGCCATTGGAGAATCATTCTCAGTAGACTAGAGCATCACAGTAAACTAAACTCCTGGGGATATCAGTTAGTCTTTGTTCTGTATAACCCATCCTGGAGACAGTGAACCTCAAAAAAGATTATTGGGACTAATTTTTCAAATCAAATAACAGGACAAAAACTGGATTGCAAATTTCCCTAACAAGTTCTAAGCTGCTTTTTAAGAAAAATGTCTTATCCCTATTTTGTTTGTAATTGTTATGTTGGTGACAGTCATGAAATAAAAGGTTTCCTTTAAAAGCTTACTTTTCCTACCGAGAGCGGCAAATAGAATTTTCTATCAGAATGTATTATGAATAAGGTTGTCAAAAGTGGGTATTCCTATTTTATTAGCTTATGTGTATGGATCATATAATCAGTTTTCTTCACTTCAGCCTTTTGTTTTTGGTATAAGTGTGTGAAAATGGATTTACTCAACAGATATAGTTCAGGATGAATGACAAATCATGATTTCTTATTTTAAATAATAATGCGTTCTGTGAGAAATTTTACTGTTCCTCCTTTGCCAATAGACATATAGATAATCTAAGTAAAGCATTCTTTAATGATCTCTGTTTCAACATGAACATGCAAATATGAAAGAAAATTCCTTCATTATGATAATAGCTGCATAATTCCATTGACCCCAATATTTTAGGCCATAACTTTGAATTGCATCTTTTGAGTTGTTCTTTTCCTCTACAAGTGGTTGTTCCCCTTATGCTTAATGATCCTTTGTAAATTAGGAACTTTTACTTTCAGAAGAGGATATTTACAATTTACCTCTATGTGATGGGAATAGAATTCCCTACACATTTCAGAGCCCTGGGGATTGCCTTTTAATTGATGCTAGATTATCCCTATTTCTAGTGTCCCATGCAAGGAAAAGAAGTCCACATGAAAGATATTCAAAATAAAAAGCTGCAAATTTAATAGCATTGACAAATTTGTATAGTTACTTTACAAAGTCATACATAAAACTGAATTTATATTTAAAATATGTAAATAATTCTTTATTAAAAACCCCACAACCTATTTTATCTTAAAAAATTTTAAGATAAAATAATTTCCTATGGGATTAAAATTTTTTTAAGGAGGAATCAAAATAGTGTCTTGATGGAACAAAAATACTGTGGTTTCATAGCATGTATCATTCACACTGGTGCAAAGTTAAAAAAATATTTAGGTATCTTGCTTCTATTTGCTTGCTTCTATTTTAATTTTGTCATTTTTAAAGAAATATTTTCTTATGAGTGAATTAAATAGTCACCATTAAGTTTATTATGTAATGTGGGAAAGAATGGTGAAAAGTAGTCTCAAACTGAACTATGCACCCACAGACTCAAATACTATCTACAAATTGAAAAGTTGGCACAAACATCAGCAGCAGAAGCTAGATATGTCACATCTTCTAGGAAATCTCTATTTATGTATTTAAATTAGAGCCAAGATTAAAAAAAAACAAAAGGATGTCAGAAAAGTTCATTGTCAGGTATTTATTTTCTTTATGTACTCTAAATGGGAATCGTAAATATTACCTCTATCCATATCTGTCAGTAAGTGTTAGAAAACATAACATCATTTCATTAAAAAAGTTTTATCTTTCAAAAAGTAGAAAACTTTACAATCTATCTTACTTGGTAACACTCTTGCATCTTTTAGAGCTATGATTTTTTTTTAAAATTCATTTACAACTCATGCACACTCTATAAAATATGCTAACATAGTTTTATATTCTGATATTGACTGGCCTTCCATTTAAGCTATTTGGATAGCCAACATTGAATGAATTCAATATGAATTTGAGAGCGAGAAAGAGACAGAATAATGCAGATGTATGAAAGTGTAAATCGACCTTGAATCTGAAACCACCAACATAAAATGATTGTTTGCACTTCACTGCTCAAAATCTGCAGCATTTTACTTGACTCTTTTATGTCACATCCTGGGGAGCAAATTTTGAGTATTGATTATGATACATTATAAGCAGTTCACCTTGTGATTAGACTGTAATTTTGACAGCAGCAGTTCATAGACAGTGAAGAAAATCGAATGGACACTCTTGCATAAGCAGCAGAAACCATGAGCACAAAGGGAACTACAACCGCCAAGGGTCAAGTTAGAATGTATGAGAGGGGAATCATTTCTAAAGAAACATAAATAGATGAATAGGTAGGTACCAAAAAGAGATATAAGTAATATACAACAAATGACTAGCTAGTCACAAAGAATTAGACAAAAGGGAGGGGGCAGGGAGGAAGAAAGAAGAGAGGGAAGGAATAAAGCAAAATGAAGGGAGAGAGGAACAAGGGAGGGAGGGAGGGAAAGAGGGAGGAGAGATGAAGGGGGAATGGAATATGGATGGACAGAGAGGGAAGGCTGCCTCAGAAACAGGGGATTAAGACAAGAGGAATTGTATTGGGAGGATTTCTGGCATGTATACCTTCTATTACGTATTTTAAAATACCCTCAATAAAAAAATACCCTCAATAAGCTAAATGTGTATAATAAAGAATAAGAGTGTGGAGTGTTTTCTTAAGCCCTACAGCTATAAAGGTAGATAATCAAACTGCTTTCTCTGTACCTTAGGGAGAATGGATCCCAGAATAGATATATTGAATTATAAACTAGAGAAATGACAAAAGAAGTAAATTACCTAGACAGCCACTATGTGCATAGATTCAATATTTATATGAGAAAACAGGGTTAGAGATCCTAGACAGAAGAAATCAAAACAAAACTAATTGATCCAATATTCACTTTTTTCTTCAGGTGCAATCTGGGATTTCCAAGAGATTATTTACTTTTATTTTCATCCTTTCCCTCAATACATGATCACCGTTTCCAAGAAATATGGCATAATCTAAATAGTATGCAGATGAGAGAAACCGAGAGACAAACTTGTTTATATTGCAAAAATAAAACAATTCTGAAGTCCAACAGATGGAACTCTGGGCAGTTCTGCCTACAGGGAAAGTTTACAGTGTCTAATCTTTTAAATATATGATTCTCTGAAGTATCATGTGACAATCAAATAGCGTTAAACACTTGTTTAGTATTAAAAATCATTTTCTATACTTCCATAGCTACATCTATAAATATTACACATGCTCTCGAAGGGAAGTATCTAACACAATAACCTTAATTAGTTTGATTTTGCATCTTAATTTATGATACTTTAGAAAACATATAAAGTAACTCAAATGACTACAGTACTTGCAGTTTATGGTGCACATAAACCACATGCGTACACACACACACATTGCGTATAGACCTTTATTTGTATGCTTGTAATAAAACTGAGCTTTCTCCAGGACACAATCTAAAAATTTATTTTAAAAAAATCTCAAATTCATAACCAAAGCATTCCTGAACATTATTAGCAATTGCCATAAGGAAAATACAGGCGAATAACAGGGAAGTTCAGTCTTCATAATATAAGGGATAATATAAGTAAGACAACATTTTATTATTGTTAATAAAATGACAATAGTTTATATATTAGTTTATATACTAACAAAATTTATATGTAAATGTACATATATATATATAACTCTTTTGAATGAAGAGCACCTACATAAAAATACCTTAAATCTGTATATTCATATTGCCTGATATATCTGAAAGCTCTCTTCTCTCTCCTTTCTTTCTCTCTCTTACCTAATCAGTTTAATAACTTAATTTTAAGGATATCAGGCAAGTGATCATTTTGTGCCAAAAAATACCTTCAAGGGAATTATGTCATTGTGAAATTATACTAAGAGGAAAAATATATTTAGATAAAACACAAAATTATCTGCTTTTAAATCATTGAGTTTTAGCAGTTTTCCACAAAGGTCACCATAATTTAGTTTTTACAATGTGATTTTAATTTTTTAGTGTCACTTTATCATCAAGAATGCATAGGCATTTCAATGATAGGTGAAAGGTGCCAACAATTGCCATGTATAAGATTAAAATTTGAAATCTAATGTTATTTAAATCAGCAAGGATTAAAAAAGAGTAAGTGGGCCTCTATCAAACATAGTTACTTTGGAAAAAGTAGGGGAAATTCTTGTGTGTTATGACTTGTAGTGAACAGTGAAAAAAACATTTCCAAGAACAAGCCAAAACATTTCTTACTTCGGAGAGAATTTACCTCTTTATTCTATTCTGTCTTGCTCTCAGTCAGAAATTTATCACAAATCAGAATTTTCAACTTATTTTTGCTGTCTTCAAAGCTCTATACAATAATTCGTGCCCATTTAGGGAAATTTTTGAGAACATAAAAGGATTTCATCCCCTGAATTTCAAACTTAGCAGCTACCTTGAGAGGTCACATATTTGTGCATCTGAAAACATGCTTAAGTTTCCAGCGTGAGGGCTTCATATATGAATCCAATATCTACCTCTGATTTGTGTTTTTATAATGACAAAATAAATGTCCATGTCATAGAAGTTTGAAAATCATAGTCTGTAAACCAGGGCATCAATGAGGAAATTCTAAATTGCCGTGGCCATGGAAGTAGGATATTTAAGAGAGAGGTATCTGTGCTTTATGACTGTCTACAAAATGGTTTATTTCTGTTTTGTAAACAGATTTAAATAGGAATAGTGCTCTTCTATTACTGTGGTGCCTGGTACTGTTTCTAACAGCTTCTTAAAATTAGAGTTGTTTCCAAGTAGACAACTCTATAAATGGAAGTCCATTTTTTATTTGTTCTCATTATTCTTTTTTATTTCTAATTTACCTTCTTTCA